TTGTATCAACTTCCAACAGTAGTCGGCTAACCATCATTGGAAAAAAAAAGACTTTTTTTTTCAAATACTGCCCCCAATTTACCAAATTTAGTTAGTCCACATTTTGTTTGCAATCAGGTACACAACTTTGAACAGGTGCAAGCCAGCTAGTCTGTTTCCCTGAACTGACAACTCTCCAACATGTATAAATTACTCCGTTCGGTCTGAAGTAGGGTCAGACAACCAAACTAAAAGAACAGCCTATTTTTCTTGGTTTTTCAGCTTCTATGAACACAAAACTTTAAACAGGTCAAGCATTGTTTTGTGTTTTGGGTTTTTTGTGGTTTTTTTTTCCGTTTTACTTTGGTTTATCTCGGGTTTTACACAAAGAGGGTTGACTTAATTGACCCAACCCGAATCCAAATGCAAAACCAAAACCGATCTGACCCAACTGAAATGATGGAAAAACCGCCCCGACCTGACCCGAATTCGGTTTTGGGTCGGGTCAATTTTGGTTTCGGACCGGTTTGTACAACATTATTTTCAGACTTGCACAGGTGGTATGGTGATCCAAGCGTATACATAATTTGATGCAACTTTTGAGCAGAAAATTTACAATGTACATGTATGTGTGACTGGAATTACGACAAGTTATTGTTAAGTAGATATTTACAATGGAAGGGTTACATGGACACATGTAATTACCTTTGCTGGTTTTCTCACCAAAAAAAGGTAATCACAGTATGCACTGTGTATGTAAACAGTATAATACTCACTCATTGATAAGGACAAACCAAAACCTCATTTCTGTTATCAAATTCTGTTGTCTAATTGTCATTGAGTGTTCTTTTTAACCCTAACTCCCTAGCTTGATTTACTAGGAACCATTCCCATCCTGGCAAATTCCAACTCCATATGGCAAACTGCACACGCATATTTCTGACTTTGATTTTGGAGGTGTGCCAGCCCCTGTCAGTTTAGGGAAACTGTACCCATCCTGACAGATTCCAACAAAACATGCCGTTGGGGTTTGATGGGTTGAGTTCTGTTAGGGTTAATCTTTCATCCCATCGACTACAAGTACGCACATGCTATCACTAAATTATTATTTCTCACCATTCCTTTCCATAGCAATTTTTTTTGTTTTAGTTTCTTAAAATCAAATTTACTTGGCACTCCCATTTGCGTGATCTACATGTACATGTATAAACAGGTTTTCAGACTGTCAGGTTGCAGCTTTAACACTGTTCGTGTCCATCAGTCAGTTTCCACTCGGTTCCCCTTGCATAGATGGCTTGCACTCATCAGTTACCAGAGAACATTGTTCTTGACACCTTTCAAACAATTGACTCTTGATGTGCGTACTGCTGCCCTTGTGCTGATGGCTCGGTGCCAGTCAGCCCAGGACATTGTTCCTGAGTACTTGCAAGTGACTGCTGGCTCTCTGCTGGTTCTGGATGTACACACTGTTCCCCTTGCATGGATGGCTTGTAGTCAGTCAGACTAGAGCATTGTTCCTGATGAGAACTTGCAAGCGCTGGGGTCCCCGCTGGTTCTGCATGTACCTCAACATGCACTTGAACATGCTGCTGACTGTGCATGGATGCCTTACTGCTGCTTTGCCTGGAACATTGATCTTGACAGCTGTCCAGTGACTGCTGACTCTCTGTGTGTTGTGCATGCCCTTGGCTTGGTGGCTTGCTGCTGCTTGGCCTGGCAGCACGGTGCTCTTGGTCATTTTCTGCCTGTGGGATCACGCGAAGCTCAATCTGCTTCCCTGGCTGCGATGGTCGGCTGGGATTCCGTCTTGGGCAGCAACGACTGCACAGTTTCAAGAATGAGAAAGCCTCAACTACAGCTGTACGATAGTCAGCATTTGTGGCACTGTAGACTAGGGGATTGATTGAGCTATTGATGAGTCGCAAGATTTCCATACATAGAACCACAATATGACTTTTTTTCCCAAGTTCTAGAAACGCAACAGCCTGGGCAGGCAAAGAATAATCCATAAACTTGATTACTATACTTGAACCTGCAATGGCCAGTGAGTTCAGAATGAAGAAAACAGCAGTATTGGTTGTAACCATACAGAGGACCTTGCCTGCTGGCTTGGGACGGTTTGGCAACAGGGCTGATTGCTTGCACACTTTCACCAGTACATAGATGTACAAAACAAGAGCGACTATTAAACAGACAATGTTGATAGGGAAATTAATCCAAAAGAGGACATCACGCAAAACACTCTCTGGTAAGAATGCTAGAATCACACCAACAATAATTGTAGGCACCCAGATTCCTGCTGATATCTTTACTGCTCGAGATTTAGAGGCCTTTTCTTTAAATGTCAGAGGATTGCGCACTGCAGAGAATCTCTCAGCTGCTATGGTAACCACAAAGAAATTGGAAGCTGCTAGGAACGTGTACCGCAGAACTTTTAATGTTTTTTTGGCTAGTGAGAAGTTGCACTCTGACATGTACTCTGAAGGTGAACACAGTGCAACTATAAAGTCAGTCATAAGGTAGAGCGAGTCAGCCACAGCCAGATTGGATAAGTAGGTGTTGATGATTGTACGCATGGACTTCACTCGAAGGACTGTGAAGAGAAAGACGAAGTTCAAGAAAAGGCCAAGTGGTGCAATGATATCAATGCTGAGGTACAGTATTTGTTCAAATTGATGAAAACTCTCGGTATAGTCAATCAGGGCCCTCCCTATCGATGAAGAGGAGCCGTTTTGGTAGCCATCACCCATAGTTCATGTTCATTGTAGCATTGATTTCCATGTCTAACATTGTGCTCAGGTGCAACAAAGAGTGGTCTGCCCTATCACAAGATCACTCCAGTTTTATACTAACAGGGATTGTAAGACCTTGAGAAATCTGAAGTTGAAACTAAAAGCTTCTTCACGTTTCCTTCTAATTTGTCCTTCCCTTGTTTCTGTAAGACCAAGTAACAAAATGAACCTGTTTCTTGTCCCCACCTGCTTCCTTTTCCCCACCCACCCCTTTCTTTCTTTTGAAATCATACATTTTGTCTTGGTATATTTTTTCAGCGAAATTGTAGCTATGTATTTTCAAGTTTAAAAGCTTGTAGAAAGGCTGACGTCTCCTTGTGACACAGAAGTTATTAGCAAAAGAGTTGAGAAAATGGAGGAATCCATCCGCCATCTTAGAAAATGTACCATCTTGAGTGGAAGGGCAGCCTCTCCTTTTTTTCCCAAAACATCAGGACAAGAAACTTGTTTTAATTACCTGAGCTACTAAAATGTGACTTTTGTTTTCATTGTTTTCACTGCACTGTAACAAAATCAAACAACAGAGTTTCACCATTGACATTGGAATATGTGAAATGTTTTCTTAGGGTTTTGATTTCCGTTTCATTCGTAAAAATTTTACTATTTTAACAAGAAAATGAAAATGTAAACGAACATGAAAACAAGCAAGATTGTTTCGGGGTTCTCCATATAACTTCTCTTGTCCTTCAGTGTCAGGTCAGTGTCCCTGTACAAAAATGCCGAGTAGTTTGAATTTTTGCAGCATATCTTACTGTTTACTCTGTATTGTAATGATGATCTTATTTGATGGAATAACCCTGCAAAAATGTTTGTTCAAGTGAAATGATTAAAACAAACCGGGAAGGCAGATTTAAGAATTCTAGTATTCACTTGGAAATGGCATCAGATTGCAAGTGATCATGGTTCACATTTTTCATTCCAGAGAGTGAGGCAAATTGTGCACCCAGCTCATAGAGGCATGTGATCTTAGGAAATCATAATAGTACCGGAGTCTTATATAACGCACATATCTACCAACAATTAGGTACTCAAGGCGCTGGTAATTAGGTCTATTTTTAAAGACAGGTAAATGAAATTGATGAGAAATATGAGACCCATTATGTAGCACCTTTATAAGGATGTACAAGGTGCTGCGGCGTATGTTGCAGCCACTGCCAGAAACACCGGGGCAAACCCCTTCTCTTAGCGATAAGTGTTGCTGAGTTATTTAACGTGCATTACACAACACACGGGACCTGTGGCTTTACGTCCCATCCGAAGGATGAAGCAATAATGGTAAAGTGCCTTGCTCAAGAGCACAAGGACCATGTTCCCCGTCAGGATTCGAAACCCATGTACCACGGCACACGAGTCAAACACCGTTACCATTGGACCACAACTCCCCAATGAAAAGAAAAGAAAGAACATGAATAAACGTGACTTTTCATTGAAGCGATGAATATTCCAAACTTGAAATTTCTCATGTGTGTTATGATATCTTTGTACACAAGAAGGTCATTTTCGATGAGGTACGAAAATGTATGTACATTTGTTCTAGAATCACGCTTGCAATTGTTAACTCTACAAACTTAGATTGCTGATGTTACAAAACCTGCCCACATTTTGTGAATTCACTTTTTAGTCGCAGTCTCATCTTGAGATGCTGGATCAGTGATTGACCAATGAGTATATTTTTAACCGGAGGACGCGGACTCTATAACACCGCCATGTTGTGCTATAAGGGAGGCAATCATATCGAGTTGCAGGCAATTTGAGGATCTGGTGGCCGAACACTTTGAGTCGTGGATGAAGGTTAAAAAAAGAGTGAAACATATGGACGTTGGTAGATGAATTTGAAAAAAAAAAGGAATTTGGTTTAATGAATATGAGAGATTGTAATGTAGAAGGGAATCGTAAGCTGGTTTGTTGTTACATTGTATACCTCAATCCCTGTATATTTACCTGTCCTTCTTTACTTAACCCCCTACATTATGAACTTCATTAGGAGCCTTCCGAGTCATTCCATGTGAAATAACCCAAAAAATATAATAAGAATAAGACATATTGTTATGGAACTCTGATCATACATTAAATGGATCATTTACATGACTGCACATTAACTAAACAGCATCAACTCATAAAGTAACATGCGGACAAGCCCATGTTCAGTTCATCAGACAGTAGACCTTTACTTAAGTTTTGTTGTTTCTGTCACACATTGACTCGTCCACTGTTTTCTGTTCTGTGAAGGTTTGCTGAAACATGGCCGAGACTGGGCCTCCATCTCCAAATCCGTCGGTACCAAGACAGAAGCTCAGTGCAAGAACTTCTACTTCAACTACAAGAGGAAATTCAACCTGGAGCAGATCCTGGAGGAGCACAACAGGAAAGCCAAGGTATGCTGATGGTAGCAAGGCCCCTTCAAACATACAACCTCCTAATGGAACTATGCAGGGTGGATAAAAAAACCGAAACCGAAATATTATTGCTAATTGGAACAAAAGTAGGGCACATGTGAATCAAAGGGAGATATCTTCTATTAGGGTTGAATCTCCTCTTTAAAATGACACCCTGGTCATGTCATTACATTCACGGTTGACTGAGCAGTGACCAATTTTATGAAAGAGTCTATTTAAAGGCTTGCGCCACTTTTCATTGTGAAATCTCTTTTTCCCCCCACCTGCCTTGATTGGCAACCATAGCCTTTCACTCTGTGACAATTGACACAACAAAAACCAAAAATTGAAAATTCTCTTGATAGACCCTTTCAAAAATTGGTCACTGCTCAGTCAACGGTGAATGTAATGACATGATCAGGGGTTATTTTAAAGAGGAGATTCAACCCTAACAAAAGATATCTCCCTTTGATTCACGTGTGCCCTACTTCTGTTCCAATTTATAATAATATCTAGGTTGCGGTTTTTTTATCCACCCTGTAATGTAGATAAACTGTTGTCGAAATGGCGGCGCTCTATGTGCCAAACGAACAAGTGTCACTTGTTGGTAAAGCTCCAAAACAGTTTCGGAGGTCACAGGTTCAAACCCCGCTTTAGTGCTCAACTTTTCAAAAAATGTTGCAGTTCACCTAGTCAGTTTTCCTTTGTGGTTCATTTGCGAATTTGTAATACAAAGCCGTATCCTCTCTGAGAGATCCCTGTTTGCTATTTTCCTGGTCTGCATCGTGACTTTGGGCGTGATCTCTGTCTACCTGGCATACACAGGTTTATGGCTTCTGACTAGTGCCCTTTGAACAAAGACATTGACGAATTGGGGAACCGCTTTCAGATTCACACCGTGCTCCAGTCAATTTCTTTGTTCAACTTTTAAGAAAAAACTTTTAAAATCCTCGAAAAAATCAATTGTTACTAGAAGCGAAAGTTTTCCAGCAATATATGGACGAACTGCAGATGTAGAAAAATGGGAAATTTCAGCAATGATGGGAACATTACATTAATTGTGCGTGTCGGCAAATTTGGAAAACATATGAAGGCGACAACTCAGGAAGACCGTTTGCCTTTGTGGCCAGTCTTCACCAACGTTGGTGGCAAACAGTCGGTCCCACTTTTACAGATGTTGCCAACGTTATGGTAGCTTTGTACATTTTGTTTCTTTTCGGAAGCACTGCAGGTGTTAATCACACAATTGAAAGTTTAGGTTGTGTACGGTGAAGAATAGAATATAGGAGAAATTTGAAGATACACCATGTGAAGTGATTTCTCCGATCATAATATTGAGTTGAACATTATTTCATTTCGTTTCCTGGCGACAGTTGGAGCATACTATCAGAAACCTGGAGTTGTTAGTTCTGATACTTTTAAAAACCAACTCTCTTTTCTTAATTAGTCATTTAAAGGTTTAACCAAAAAAAGCAACAAAGGAGGCAATTTTAAATTGAAAGGGTGACTCAAAGTTATTTGTAGAACTTGAACATATTACAGTGTGAAATCATACTCTTTATTCTTTAGGCGGAAAGGGAACACCGCATCTCCACCACAGAAAGCACCGTTTCTACGCTGACGGCCATGTCGGATGACGATGATGATTCCATGATGTTCAGCGACGAAGACAACGATGCTGACAATGACCTGGGGAGCTCAGACACTGACAGCGCCAGCGAGAACGAAGGAGATGGCTTGCCCAGAAAGCCTAAGAAAGGAGGCGGAGGAGAGGTGGGTCTTGGAGCAGCTGAGCCAATGGAGGTGGGAGCTCCTAGTGGAGGGTCTGGGATGGCTCCGAGTAGCGCCGGTGGGGACAACAAGGGGAGTTTACCGGACACAGGGCATGACAAAAACCAGTCGGGAAACGACAAGGGTGGTGGTAGGGCAAGCGAACAACAAGAGGGGGCCAGACGCGAGGTTGCAAACCCCGAACAACAACCAAAACAGCAGCAGATGGTAGACGCTGACGCTGCTAAGAAGCCGACATCAGAATCGCAGCAACCTCCTGGTCCATCCTCTCAACCCGACAGGTCATCTCTGACATCAGAGATGCCGTCAACCCATGCCGAACTCCCCCCGGGACCGACCCTCACTTCGTCGCGCCCGCGTGATGATGACGACTCCAGCGCTACCTGCAGTGCAGACGAAGATGTGGAAGCCGTGGTTATCCAAGAACCGACCAACTCCTCAATGATGCCACTGACTCGCAGAGCCCTGGAGAGTCAAGGACAGGGAGGCGACAAAGTCTCCTCAAGCGACGAGAAGCGATACATCCGCTCACTCCACCAGCTTCCAACCAGCAGAGAGCGATTAGGAGAACTCTCCTCCTCATCGCAACCTCCATCCCAGCCGCCAGCTCAGGCCCTACCGGAACGTAGGCAATCTAGGGTGGAGGCCCCTGTGGATGCCACCAGCTCGGGGAAGCCTAACCAGACCCTGGCCGAGTATCTCGGAATGGAAGGCAAAGTCAATAACATCAAGGATTTGATTGACTCGGCCATTGACAGGCATCTTGGTAGGTGTTGACTTTATCTTCTCAATGAATTTCAAGTACCGGTATTCAAGTTTCTGGAAAAATTCTCACCATAATGTAGTTTATAAGAAATTTGGTAAATATACAAGACACATCACCTCATGATAACCCAACACACATTGAAGATGGGTCAGTTGACAAACCCTCGTAAGGAGGTTCCTCAATTGATTTCATGTAACACTATCTTTATACACAGGATTTTTTATAAGTTTCTTAATTTTTTTAAAGATAAAAATCTAAAAACCAGTTATAGACCATTCCGAGCACGCTAACAACTCTATCACGGAGGCCCCCTTCAATGGTGAAAGCATTGTGCTAGCTATTGTTCAGATCGTCCACAATTATGCAATTGCATGCATGATCATTTCTCCTTTAAAAGGGGGCTTGTGAGTGTACAGTGAATCATGTGCCCATATTTGTTTATATTAATATTACCTGTATTTGTACTTAAAGGGTCCATGAGATGAAGGTTTCTTGGAACACATGTTGTGCAACTTTCTACTCCTCTTAAATGTATGAGAACTAGTGGACATCCCTTTGTTGGTTAATTTTATTGAAAAGTGCACTTCTTTAAACATTTTGTAAAAAATCCCATGCTTTTCCAGACAGTTGAGGGTGCTGTTGCTGTGATGTCATTTCAGGAAGTAAGGGTTTTCTGTTCAAATTTTGAACTCCAAAATTTTCTCACTGAAAACATTTGTGAGAAAGTTGGCTCACTGGATTACGCCATGTGCTGACACATCAACGAATTGGCAAAGAAAAGAAAATTTTTATGACGGCAAAACATCCAAACTTTTGATGCTGAAATAGCTGCAACATTGAGATTTCTGCCTGAAATGGCATCAGACTTTTGATCATGAATATAAATATGGAAATTTGCATTCGCATTAAAACCAAAAAGGCACCAAAATACCCTTAAAATGTCCAAATGATAATTGAAAATAAGGTTAAATGGGACACAAAGGTGCATTTTTAATGATTGAATTACTGAAATGGCACTGTTTCATGTGATGATTTCTTGACTCAAGTTTCTTTTGATACTCTTTTTGTCTCCAGGAAATTCCTCCACTGCTAGTTCTCCCGGCCAGCAGGACTCGGTGACAAGCAACCCTTCGAGTCTCTCCGATCCCCATCGGAGTCCAGCATCTGCCAAGGACCCCAAGGATTCCCAAGAAGGCCGCCGCTCCTCAGAGAGCATGTACAGAGACATGCACTCGGGGCGGAGCTCCTCCTGGGCAGACTCCAGCGACAGCAAAGACCGTCGGCCGTCGGTGTCTAGAGCAGACCCTGGGATGGCGTACGTCTCGCCCCACATCTCCCACACGTCTCAAGTCCATCAGAGAACCCAACAACAGCAACAGAAGCAGCTACAGGATCGGGATGTCTATGAAGTGGGAAGCAGCCACCCGGATATACCCAGTATGAGGTACCCAAGCGGAGCCATCGGTCGGGCGTTGTACCAAGGCACCCGCTACCCACGAGACGCCCATGGAGAGATCTACCCAGACCGGGATCAACACCCTCATGTCTCCTCCCCTCCTGGTGTACCCACTGGAGCCCGGCAGGCCAGGTCTAGTTCCCCATTTGCCCTGGTACCCATGGACAGGGTTTCGCAGTCGCAGCAGCAGCACCGGCCTATCCCGCTTCCCAGATCCACGAAGGGGAACGTGCCACCACCCCCTCCGCTGATCAACAAGTTATCACCCAAGGCCATCAAGACTGAGAAGCCATCGCCGCTAGGCCAGCCCCACAGTGGATCTATCACACAGGGTACTCCCATTAACTTCTCCACAGCAGGCAACCCTCCCACAAGGTGCGTTTGAGAGTTGTAGTCAAGTCAAGAAAAAATCCATCACAAGTCAAATCACAAGTCAATATCAAGTATGGTCCCAAGTATGGGGGGGGGGAGGGGTTATCAAGGAATGCCTTTGTCTCTTGGGGTGCTGTGGTCCAAGTGTTACAGTATTTGACTCATGTGTCGTGGTACGTGGGTTGGAACTGTGACAGGGAACATGGTGCTTGTGCCCTTGGGCAAGACACTTTACTACAATTGCCTCTCTCCGCCCAGGAGTGTAAATGGGTACCTGTGAAGGTAGAGACCAGGATGCGCTGATCTCGAGCTGCTGCAGAAAAATGGTCTCATTCCTGATGAACAGGGATAATAATTGTAACGCACTTTGAAACCTTAGGTATAGAGCACTATATAAGCACCACATTGTTAATTGAAAAGCTGAAAGGTTTTTTTATAATGAAGCTGAATACTGCTATTTATGCTTTACCCGGCAAACAGTAACCTATATACAGTCATTTTGCAATGCATAGTTTTGGCTGAATCTCACATGGAATACCCACTCTTTCTCCAGTCGATACGAGAGGCCCCCAGCAGGCTATGACGGCCTCCTTGTCAAGGGCCAGCCGTCAGCGACATCCCCACGGCAGGAGGGAGTAGCAGGTGGAGGGGGTTCCATTACCCAGGGCACACCCATCAACAGAGGGGGACGGGAGATGCCAGGGTCTATCATGAGGGGGACACCGATGCAATCCCAGTCCCACGAACCCTCCGGATCTAAAGGTATGCATCTGGTGCGAGAATGGGGTGACAAATAATTTTTAGTGTAAAGAATTGTTGGTTCTTAGATAATCTGTGTTTATGGTTTAGTGACGTTTTGGACAGGACACAATCCAGCATAACTGTGTGAACTGTCAAGAAAATGTTCTGACCCATTCATTTTTAACCTTAACGTAACAGATATATTCAATATATTTGCACATGTCCTTTTTGTATCGTTACTGCCTCTAAAGCTTCCCATCATTTGGATGTATCGCAAAGCTTTCCCATAATTTTTTATGTGAATGTAGTGATAAAAGGTGATAATTGTGATAAAAGCTGCAGTGGAGGTAAAATTGATAGTACCATTGAGTTATCGCTCCTTGACTGTACCATCGGTAAACTAAATGGTTGTAGGCAATTCAGTTTTCTCCAACACAACAAAGCCGGAGAACAAATGATATTAAATTTCCCCCTGAAATCTATATGTGGGTCACAGAAGGGACTATTGGCATGACTAGGACCCTCAACAGCTCGTAGATTTATGAGCTGGAGATGACCGTTGCTCATTTGACCCTTGTAAAAGTCAGACCTGTACTCTTTTCCCGAGGATAATGGCATTGTGGGGGAGTTTCTAGACAGTTGTGAAAAATGCCAAAGTGTGTATGGTTTGATGACTAGTAAAGACTGCCAAAGTGTATGAATTGAAGAAAACGTGTACAAAACCCACAACCTTTAATGTGACCTAACATAACGCCTGATTACGTCATCGTGACGAAAATCTCTGGCATACATCTTCAGGTGGTGGCCCAAGTGTGTGCCAAGTCTGAAGTTGACCGGATTTACAAAAGTGCCAAAGTGCTTGGGTGGAAGGAGAGGAGTCTGAAAAAAAGGGGGAAGGAAAAAAGATTACGGATTTACAAAAGTGCCAAAGTGTGTGGGTAGAAAGAGAGGAGTCTGAAAAAAGGGGAAGGAAAAAAGAAAATTTTAACGAAAACAAGAGCTGTTTCGGAGGGAGCTAATATTTTCCCTGGATATATTTTCCCTGACCCTTTCTGCCTTCTCTAGATTCCAGAGTTAACCATGAGAGTCAACGAACCACTCCCAGCGGTTACGAAGCGGGCACATCGAGAAGTACCCCGGTCTCCTATGAAGGGGACCGGCCACGGGTCACCCAGGCAACCTCCCGTCACGATCAACTCATGCATCGCAGTATATATGAAAACGCATTGGCTAGAGGCTCACCGGTGTATGTGGATACCAGTGGAACTGTGCGAGGTATGCGTGACTGACACTTGTCACAAGTTATCATCTATTTTTGTTAAAGTTCAACAAAGAATTTGACTGGAGTGGGGTTTGAACGTGTAACCTCCGGATTGCCGTTCCAGTGCTCTACCAACTGAGCTATCCAGCCCTATGTTGGCGGTTCCCCAATTTGTCAATGTCTTCATTTAAGGGCTGCTAGTCAGAAGCCATAAACCTGTATATGCGATGTAGCAAAGGATCACGCCCTAAGTCATAATCAGCAACATTAGCAATGCTGCAAACATGGGAAGTAACAAACAAGGATCTTTCAGCTGTTCAGATAGCATACTGCTTTTTGTTACAGTTTACTGTCTACATGTAAATTTTTGAATCGTCGCATTAAATGTCCAGATTAAGTTGTAGACAAGATTATCCACAGTGACCCCATTGTATTAGACATTAGTCTCAGAATGGTTGACAACTTTCCCAGAATCTTTACGCCGTTAGGTTATCATCACTGTTTCCAAATTGATAACATCATTGTGGGAAGATTCAAGGGGTTTGTTCAGAATTCTGGCTATTAACAGATCAATTTGTCTACAAATATCCCAGATATTTATATCATTCCTTAAAACTCTCCTATGCAAACATACATTTTCAATGCACGCACAATGAAAAGCCTGTAATTTTGTTGAAATTGTTTTAAACAGGCTCCATTTTTGGGGGGAGATAAAATGACATCAGAAAAAGATATTTTTGCTATTTTGGGGTTTCTATATTATTTCGAGTGACATCATTTAACAATCACAACTTCACTGAGATAACAACCATTATACATGTACAATGAATGGGATTTAGAGAAATGTAAAATATAAGATTGAACTGAGATTTGAAGGTTTGCATGGTGGAAAGATACTAAGACAAGATAAGTTTGTGGTGACACCATGTGAATAAATTTCTTTTGTGAGTATGTGTGGTTCTGAAAAGAACCGGAGGGACTCAACGTTTCGAACAGTATGCTCTGCCCGTCGTCAGGAGAATGAGGGATTCCAGTGATAATGCCATGATTCTCACGCCTCACCGCACCCATCCTTATAACATCGCACCATGATTCTCACGCCTCACCGCACCCATCCTTATAACATCGCATCATCGTTGGAATCCCTCATTCTCCTGACGACGGGCAGAGCATACTGTTCAAAACGTTGAGTCCCTCTGGTTCTTTTCAAAACCACACATACTCATAAGATTGAAAATTTGGTTTTACTGAAACTCTTTTAACGGAAACTCTTGCAGCAACCAACCCATTTGAGCGTCCCATGCCCCACATGGATCCATCAGCATTATACCTGGCACACCAACAGCAACGGGATTACATGAATCTGATGGCCAGATCAAGTCAGCCAGACACAACGTCCTTCAACAGCTCCAAGGAAACACTAGCCGGTATGTCAGGAGAATACTCACCCACTCCATATCGGTCACACTAATTAACCCTTCTGGTCTTTTGCACTTCAAGTTTTGCTTGAACTCTTTTGCCCATAGAGTTAGTTTCGAGTTAGTAAGGGTGGCGTCTAAACACGCTGATCCCTCGTGCCTTTTGTACACACACACACAAAGTCTGTGAAGTCTGTGGAGGCGGACCGTGTGTTGATCTTTAATTGGCCGTTGTGCACGGCCTATTGTTGTTCAATTTACGCTCAAGTGCACACCGCGGAGTATTGAAACATATGAGGTTTCAGCAAGAAATATCGTACAAATGCTGTTGAAATGACTCTTGCGAATCAGTATTTGTGGCGTTGAGCTGTATGTCAGAAGTTGGCTGGAAGATTTGCCTTTTGCGAAAATCGAAATTTTCGGCAACAATAATCCCGGCGCGAAGTGTTAGGCTCAGGGGCAAGCAGGCAGATTCTGTCACGTTTCACTGCTCTTCACACTGCAATGTTTTAGGCAGTGATGTTTGACACTCACATCCATCCTGAAATTATAATGTCTATATTCATAATCAACATTCATATCTTTTACTATGCAGGTGATTTTGCAACGGCAAAGCAGATGAGCATGCGGACCTCCACAATTGCAGGTACTTGCATACTTGAATTTCTATTTGTAACGAAAAAGTAGTTCAGCATTTTGGGGGCAAAGGGACCAGTGCCTGGATTGATCAGTTGTTCAAAGGTTACGGGTTCCAATCCTGTTTGTAGTACTCAAGTTGAATTCATAGAACGCTGATAATGTAAGAAGAACATGACCATAGCCAGCTCTTTAACCAAAACCTTCATGCACAGAAAACAATGAAGCAGATATGGTCTTTGATGATAGAAACAAGTTATGACTATTCTAATAAAAAAAAATCACAAAATTCAGCTGTCTAATACTGAGCATTTACCATTCTACGAGCTGATAAATACCCTTTAAATACAATGAAACGTGTACGTTTTCTGACCTCCATGAGTGAACGAAAACTTGCAAAGGAAAACAGACAAAAATGGCCATCAGTAATTCAGAAAAAAAAGAGTTGATTTGTTCCTTTTATTCAAAACACAAAATCTGACAGTTAATAAAACTATGTTTCAGTCTTGACTCAAATGATTAAAATCTCATTTGTATTTGAATGCCTGTGTTTAATCTGTAATTCTCACTCAGCTCAATAGCTTCAAATGGCATTCCATGGACAGCTATAAAAAATAAGTTCTTTTAAAAAGTAAAACATGCATAACCTCTGAAAGCATGGATCAATTTCAGTAATCTGAAATGATGAAAGGAAGAACATGCTCTTTTAAGACACACTTCAATGGTGCAGGTCTGTGAAGAGAAGGCTGACTTCAAAAAAATCCTTTCCAATATAGATTTTTACGAGGTCTCTGGAGAGCTCAGCTCAGTATTACTAATGACTCTAACATGTGGGCCTTTCCACACTAAAGGGGTACAAAAGTGTGACGTGGGATTGGGAAATAAAGCAGGATAATAATATCAAGTTGTTTGTCCTATTTTCCACTTCTACATTCCCAGCCCATTGTTGAGGATTGTGCTTTTAAAGAATTTAAGACTTTCTTGACAAGATATTTATGCTCACAGTGCTATATACGTAAAAAGGACAGAAAGTTTGCCAGGGGAATGGCGCAAGTTTTACTGTGTGTAATCTTTCTGTGTGTAATCTTGTCATTTTATACAATTTTTTAGGGGACTATGCAACAGCCAAACAGATGAGCCAACAGCAACAGCAGCAGCAACAGCAGCAACAACAACAACAGCAGCAACAGCAGCAGCAGCAGCAGTTGCCGCATCAACTGGTAGGCCAGCCAATCACTCCACAGATGGCACAGCAGATCAGCCAATCGGTGGCCCAGCGTGGCAGCCAGTACCCACCAACCACCACCAAGGATTCCAGACTGTCTCCTAGACGAGAGTCACCCATGTCTAAGAACTTTCCTCCAGGACAGCAACATGTCTTAGATCCACAGATCCAGCAACAGATGCTGCAACAATATGCACAGGTAGGAATCGGGGGAATCTTTCCCTAAAGACTTCAGTTCTAGAGTTGCGCTGAACCAAATTGTTCCAATGAGTTAGATTCATTACAGGAACAGTTCAACATTTGAAAAAGATAGGAACGACTGTATCCAAAGATCAACATTCACTGTATTTTTGCAACAACTCTCAGAGTCTAGAATTCCCATTTGACACTAAAATCCGTTCGGATCAAGAAGAGTTACTCCTAATACATGTTGGTTCAGCAGGATTCTGGAATGCTAGTCTGAAACATTGGTAATTCTGCTAAATTCTAGGAACTTCCCAGATTTTTTTATAATCCTGCACTGTGCAGTAAACTGTTTGGCACATGTTCTATACATGTACGTCAACTTTCAAGTCTCGAAGACATTAAATAGTGGCAGCGCTATACCTTCCACAATCCTGCCGCAAAGCTCCCAACCCATTTGGAAACATCTTGGATAGTGAGGGTTAACTCATATTCTTTATTAAGTTTGGTAGATTACTAGGAGAGATTTTTTTTCTGCCACAAGTGGGTTTTAGGTGCTTTTGTTCTTGTCAGACTGTGCTGACCAAAAATGCCAGCTACGTAAACCTTTGGTTGCAAACATCCTGTAGATGATAATTCTGCATTTGATTGTTGTTTTGCTTTTTAAACACGTACAAGTAAATGTAATTCAGTCCACTTGAATTAATTTAGTTTTTAATATGAACTGGTTTGTGATTGATTTGAGATTTGGATTTCCTTTTCTGCCCCTACAGAGTGGACAGATTGTCTACCTGCCCTATTTCCCCCCGGGTCATTCCCACATACTAGCTCATCAGCACTACCCAGGGGGTATCCCCTCCCCCCACCACCCCCACCCCTCCATCAGTCCCCACACCACACAGGCACACCCGTCATCCCAACACCCTGCCCACAGCGACCGACGCACAACCTCTCCAATGCAGCAGCAGCAGCAGCAGCAGCAGAGAGAAGTCACGTCACCGGCTGAACACTACGCCCAGCAGCAAGCCGTGAATTTATCCCACAGATGGCCTGCGCCTCCAAGTGTGGGTGCCGTGCGCTTCAAGCTCCCACCCAGGGGGTCTAGCCCGGGTGCCCATCCGGGCTCGGGGGTGCACCCTGTCACCCATCCGGGTTCCTTCCCATCAACATGCTCCCATCCTGCAACCGCTGCTCATAGCATCACTACAGTCCACCCGGCCTACTCCGCCCATCTCTCCGGTGCCCATATGGTGGGTAGCAGCCACCCAGGAGCCCATCACATGAGAGGTACAATGGGTGGGAGCATCATGACGGGGACACCCATCAGGCCTCCACCCAGTATCACCTCGGGAACACCCAATCCAGAGCTGAGGGAGGAAACGCCAAGAAGTCGAGCAGAAAGCACTTCAGGTATGTAGGCTTCTTAGTGCATTCTTGAATACAAATGCAAAGGAACCCAATATAGTATTTATCTTATTATTTACTTGTTTGGTTTAAAAGGGCACCAATACAATACTTCAATAATTTAAAATAAATTAGTTACAATGGTTATCACAAAATATTTGGGGGAAAAAACAAGGAATGGTATGAGTTTTTAAAAAAGAATTTTCCAGACTTTTATTGCAGTTCACTGCCTTAATTTGATGAAATTTAAACTATAAACATAATTGAAATCAAGGTGATTTCATTTTCATTTCATTTCATCAAAATTTATTTCCAGTTCCATCAATCAATAGCAATACAATGTATATAAATAAATAGAAGAGGAGGATTTGGAGCACAGCCAAAAAAGCACAGCTCGTGTTAGGGAGTGCCCATACAATTACAAACACTACAGTACAGACTGAATTGACAAAACACAAACAGTACATATTAAATACACAAAACGAATACACACACGATTCCAGTGGTTGATCCAACGGTGAAAAAGAAAAGAAAATATTTAATAAGGATGGATATGATAGTAGAAATTAAAATTAAAAAATCACTTTTGAAGAGGGTAAAACGTAAGATTACGTTGAAAACTGAATAAGCTGCGACTATTCCTGAGACTTGCAGACAAATCACAATCCATTCCAGTGAAGTGGCCCAGAGTGCCTTATACAGTCGACTCTCGTTATGAAGAACTTTTTTGGACCCAGCCAAATTGTTTCTTATATCAGAATTTTGTATTAAGAGGAACATCAGTCCCATTCATTGTGCACATAAATGCACAGTCGGGACCAAGGCTTTATGTTTGTTATAACCAGAATTTTGTATTAACAGAGTTTGTACTAACGAGAGTCGACTGTACTGTGTTTAAAGGCAGATGTCCTGAACTTGGAGATATGCAGTAGGGAAGATGACCTAGTATTATAGCTTTGTATATTATGATTAGGTTGAACCTAGCCCAGGTTGGACGACGTCTTCATTGCATTACGACTGACGTCCAGGGTATAAATTCTACCACCATGGCGAAACACATTTTTTTATAACACATTTTTTTCATATTTTTACCTGATGGAGGAAGCCGAAATTTTGTTTACATACATGTATTTCTTGTGTCCAGAATTGTGCAAATTAAGCCACAAATTTAGACGAAGATGGAACTTTTGATGAGAAACGGACGAGGTTGACGGAGCAAAATTAACAGGTGTGTCACATCTTGAAAGGGCGCCCTCTGACATCCAAACAAAACATGTTTATAATATCCTTGCTGCATTGGGGCACAGACCCTACTCAACTGGTTCATTGTTATAAATGATGCGTCTACTGTTCATGGTGCCATTTATCATGCAAAGAGTTACGTTTTCCTTTATTAAAATTGACAGGATCTGGTGGTAGCAAGTCTCCTGGTGCAGCTAGTGGTTCGGAAGCTTTTCGCACACTTGTCCATGTAGCTGCCTCAGCTGAAACACTTGGAACAGCACAGGAAAAAGGTGACCCAACTATAGAATGTACACTTCCATGTAGCAAGGATATTAAAAACACGTCTTGTTTGGGCTTTTGAACCAGTGTATAAATTGAATTATATAAATTGAATGTTTGTCTTTGATTTCAGAAGCAAGAAGACAGCAACAAGCCATTCATGAGAGTAGAGAGCGTGATGCCAGCTCCTCTAGCGAATCCCACGGCTATCCACGACGACCCTACTCAACTGGTTCCAGCCACTCGGGTCCAAGCCAAGAGCGGTGGATCTCTACGTCATCTGATAACCAGATGGCCCATCGGGAAGCTGCCCCGTCTGGAAGCAGTCGCTTGACGCCCAAGGGACGGGAATCAGAGAGTAAAGAGAGGAAGGAGGAGGTCAGACACAAGGAGCAACAGCAGAGAAACCACAATATGGAACGAGAAGCCTCAGCCATCTTTGCTGCTCTCTTTGAGAAGGACAAGCAGTCATCCCGGGTCTCAACTGAAGAGGACTCGGAGAGCTCCAGCCGCCCACTGACGGCGGCCAGTCTGATTGATGTGATCATCACACGCTCCATCAACCAACCCATGTTGGACAATCATGACCAAGGGACTGACTCAGACAGCGGTGATGGGTTGTCTGTTGGACCGAGCGTGGCTTCCTCCAAAGAGAAGTCCAGCAAGAATGTGTCCGACTCAGACTCGCTGCAGCCGGAGAATGGAGACAGTAATGCTGTACCCTCATCGTCAACAGAGCGTTCTCCAAGTTCAGGAAAGGATCCGAAGCACCAAGAGCAGGAGGCATCTGGAGAACAGCAGGAGAGGCCTCAGGAAAGCCTGGTCCCGGTGACTTCACCATCCCCACTTCCCATTACCCTGGCTGAACATATAGACACTATCATCTCCATGGACTACAATAAATCTGACCAGGTGAGTCAGGCATCTACATCAGCAGCCACTTCTGCCACCGGAAGCTCATCCTTGAAGCGAGATCGTGTAAAGTCATCAGGTGTGGATACCACAGAAAGCCGGGAACAGGGACCATCCTCTAGCTCTCCTCGTGCTAGATACAGGACACCCGATAGTGAAGTCGGATCAACCAATGATGCAGCAAGGAGAAGCAGCCCGGTTGCCTCATCCCTGCAGAGTATCCATGGTGCTCGCAGCAGCAGCAGCAGTAGTGACTCCAGAATGAGGAATTCGGGATTGATGTCTTACGGTGGGCCTGCGGAACCGAGTGTCAATAGCTCCAAAGAAGGTAGTCCAAGAAGCAGGGCTGCCTCCACAGCTTCTGATATATCAAGTGCTTCTGCATCCCCAGCCAGTGCCAGACCGGACAGCTACTCCAACAGGGTTTCCTCCCAGTGGGGTTCACGTAAGGACCAAGAAGCGACATCTGCTGGTAGGGTCTCAAGGAGCTCATCGGAACAGAGTCGAGAGGCTTCACCAGTCAGTGTCAGTGATATGACTCCATCTGCTGTGTCTTGGCAGAGGAAGTATCAACAGGAAGGTAATGGAGCCGACAGCAGTGAGAATGCTACCAGAGGATCCCAGCCACGATTCAGGGTCCACAGCTCTCAGTCAACCTCCCCACACCAGCCAGAAAGCTGGGGAATGGCTGATTCCAACCGGCCACCATCCCGAGGTAGACGCAGGGACTCACCAAAGACCATTGTGGAGCCTGGATCAAGCTCCTCTTCTGTGCTGGATGCAGCCTCAAGCAGCGAAGACAGATCTCGTTTTACTCCTGGTCCTGTAGAGAGTGGAGTCAGCGATAGCCAACGGCAGCTCAGCAGCAGCCAATCAGGCCTCAAGTCCAGATCAGAAGCTGAGAGCTCTCGCAGCAACAACCCAGCTCCCCAGAGCACCTCTCATGAGTACAACTCAGATAGTCCTCTGCAACCTGCTGATAGTATGTCCCAAATGAGACAGTCTCTGATGGGTACAGCCCAATCAGTGGTGAATAGATCTCCAAAGAATGGACAACCTAGCATGCTTCCAAGCAGCAGTCAAGGTAGACAGCCTCAGAGGAAGGACACTGGCTTGTTCCGGTTTGATCTTCAGAAGTCCATCGACCGTATGATTGAATCTCAAGTGAGGATGGAGACACCATCCAGGATGGACCAGCAGGTCAGAATGGATGATTATGTGACGCGGCTTGTGGAGGCTGAGATGTCTAGCTCCCGGTCTTCTCCACAGCGCTGCGATAGCAGAGAGAGCACCAGCACGGCCGAGTCTGGTGCCCTGGAGGTGGATGAAAGCCGACTGTCTGATGTCTCAGACTTGGACAATCACGAGGCAGAATCAGTCCAGCAACCAAATGTCTCACAGCAGCGTCCTAGAGGTTCAAGCCCGAGACTGCCTTCCCGAGATAACAGGGATGGGGAAGCAGCTCCAAGTTCAACACCCGTTGATGGTGCTGCAAGGCTGAGTGTGGGCTCTTCAAGTGGAATTGGTAGTAACAGGGCATCAGGTGTTATCTCTCCAAATATAGCCGCACAGCCTCAGCTCGATCCCTCTAACCAACCAAGCCAATCAGTACCCACTTCCTCACCATCCCCTGTCTCTCACCAGGGTTTCCCAACCTCGGGCACCGGGCAGGCAGGGAACCAGTTTGCATATTCAGCCTTATCGTTCAGATCAGCGGCAGGAGTAGCCCCTGCTGCCTCCTCCTCTACAACAAGCTCCGCCCAGAACCATCTAGCCAACGTTCATCTCAGGATCCCCTCCCCCCACCTTGGACCCGCTAGGGGGCCATCACCAGTCCCTGGTCCAGGAATAGCTGGTGTTCGTGAGAGGGAACCAGCACCTTTGCTGTCCTCTCAGTACGAGACCTTATCAGATAGTGATTAACCTAGATAAGTAGGAGATTACAAATAGTGTTGTTTGTTAAGTTGTAGTCGTTATTATTGATTAGTGGAATCAATGACTTGGTAATTAATATTGATCTCCAAAGCTTACGGAGAACCTAAGACTGAAGTACGTTTATTTTATGTTTTTTTGTCAACTTTCTTACTGATATGCACATTTTTGTGATAAAAGATGGACTGACTTTTTAAACCATGCAAAAGATACTCTCTACAGAAGTACATGTACCATTCGTGGTGAGGTGTCTTTTTACAGACACATGGTTACAGGTTATTTGCAGAAAAATCTTTATTTGATCAGATTTAATATATCGCTAAACAAGTTTGCCCTGTTTTATTGCAGATTTACCATATTTGTAATAACCATCGCTGTACAAGAATGCGTTTCTTTGGGCTAAAAACAAAACGACTAAACAAAACCATTGATTCAAATTAAGAATCTAGCTTTATTTTGATCTTGACAATGAAAATATGATGCCAGTGTTTCGTGAAAAATTCTGTTAACCTTTGATTGTTACCCTTTCCTTGAGGAAAAAAAATGTCCAAGACATTTTGTCATTCATTTGTAATTTTGTTTTAGTTTTACTGTAGAAAAAAAAACTGTTAAAACAGTCAAACATGTTTTTATTTAGACTTTTAGTTGTGTGTTAAAAGTTAGGAAAAAATGGTCATTTTGATGAAAAGTGAATGTGGCTGCTTTTTAGTATTATGATAAGTTTGGTTGTTTTAAAAATAGCTTTTGATGACAAGAATGCTCTGAAATGTCGGCTTGATATTCCAGAGCCATTGTATCACAAACCCTCCAGAATCCATCAAATTCTAACGCTTCTGTTTGATTGTTTTTTATGGTTTCAGGACGTTACAGCCAATTACTTTGCAAGAGCATCATTCAATGAATTTTGGGTCCAAAGTGTGATTTTTTTGTTCCTGTTACCGTGGTACTTTGTCATTTGCCATTCAAGTATCATGAATGACTTCAAACAATAAATTTATTTATTGGGTAGGTAGTTTGCTATTCATAACCACTCTTGGAGAACGACTGCATGAAGGAGTGCATCAGAATTATGAAATCACAGATGTTATATGTAACAGGGACAGGACAAAAAAGTGGACCCCAAATTTATAGAATAACCCAATAACATAACGTGGGCATTGATGATGAGAGTTGGATTTTGGGGACTTCCTTGTTGAAAATCATCCCTGTTCTCTTGTGAATTTTGTGTGCTCGCAAGAATTACCTAGGGTTAGGATTAACTATTTGTTTTTGATGTTTAGCAAATTTTCCCTCCATAACTGGTTGGTTCTAAGTCCTCCCAAGTCAGTTGTAAGACGTCTCAAGTCACAAGCTGTTCATATGAAGAGGGGCAGCATTCTCTGTTGCTTGCAACTTGCTGGTGACTTGAATTGTGATTGACTTTACAACTCTGGTTTTGAATTGGCCTAACATTAGCTGGTCACGCACACAAAAGAAAATGTAAAAAATCATGACAGCAAATTTTGTGTTCGCACCCCCTGCCAAAAAAAGACGTTTGGCTGTTGTGAGAGAAGTGCGTTATCTTATTACAGTGTCAATAAGAGTGGAACTTTAGGCTGAAATCTGTAGGTTTAGAAAGCAAAAGTCGGTCCACTAACAAGAAGGGTCACTGAACGCAGTTTCTGATAGAATCGTGTTTGGTATGAAGGATGTACATAAAGTTGTACTGTTGTTTTGCAGCGCTCAAGTCTGCCTGTTCATATTAACTGGCGCTGCAATTTCTCTGAAACTTCAGTGTTAATGATAAGTGTGATGCATGACTGTATGAGTCTCGTTGTTACACAGTCATAGATGCACTCAGTCACTCACAAAGCACTTGTGTTACGAGTAAGCCACTAGGAAGTCGAATATCAGCAAGTTTCAGGACCATTTTAGTCCACTAGTGGTTTATTTGTGACTTAACCCTAACACCGCAAAAAAAGAAAGTCCATACTCAAGGGGGGGCGGGTCATAATTTTGAATCTGATCGTCTTTGTAATGGAGTCATTTATGTAGACCTTTGGGTAATTTTGTTAGCTACATTTGGATACCCCATTGCGACCAAAGACTGTACATCTTCAAAGATTGACAATGGTTTATGAAAAATGATGCAGTTTGAAAGGTTGCAAATTTAGAGATTACGCGAGGAGAAATTGCTAAGCGCAAACACACATGCCCGTAATTGGCCCCTATCGACTACACACTGCCCGAACAAAGCGCGGGTAATTCAATTTCGCGTGCTCCCATGCATACAAGCACTGTGCAATCAATATTTTCTGCCGCTCATTTTGGGCAGTGTTACATTGTCACGCAGCAATTTCCACTCGCGCACTCTTTACATTTGCAACTTTTCAAAACTGCGTCATTTTTCATAAACTGTTGTCAATGTTGGACGATTTACCTTCTTTGGTAGCAAAGGGGATTTCGAAATGTAGCTAACTTTCCCCAAAGGTCTATATAGATGATGTTAACACAAAACGATCAGATTCCAAAATTGTGACCCCTCCAATGAGTGGCGACTTTCTTTTTTTTTGCGGTGTTTACATCTGCAGGAAAGAGTTCCATGTGGACATCACTTGACACCCTGTGCACAAACCCTATGAGACTAGTCTGATAAAATTCCAAGTGTTTTCTTAATACTTCAGTATTCGCCCTGCTAAATTTGACTTTTTAAGGCCACGTTATCGCTTTCTGATGGGTGATAGGTCACTGCAGGGAAACATTAGTGATGCCCATGTTTGGAATTCTTTCCCATCTGCACACACATACATGTACCAACGTGAAAATGCTTTTAGTCAAACACTGGTTGAAAAGTCATCACAAAAACTTCTCCGTCCTGCTTCCTGAAATTGGACCATTGTTTTGCAGTGCAAGCAGCACTACTGGTCGGTCCTACTAAAATGCGTCAACAAGCGTCAACGGTCGTCAACCCGTTATTAGGTTATTCTATACGTGAAGCTAGCCATATAACGCGTGCGTGAAGTGTACAATGCCAATCCAAACAATATGGCGGCCAACACTAACTCGACAAACTCGTTGTACGTTTCGCGTTGAAAAAACAACTTGTGAAATAATGTTAACTTTAATTTATATGCTGAAGGTGTTCTTTGTCGCTATTTCTACCATATATAGCTTTTTTGATGTTCCAAAACTTATACCAAATTTGTTGACAATGGGTTGACGACCGTTGACGCTTGTGGACACCAGTTGACAAATGGTTGACGCTTATAAGGACACATTTAGTAGGACCCCTACTTGTTAATTTTCACTGGATAATTTATCAAAAAGAGAACAAGGGTTGTCTTTTTTATGATTTTATATGCATGGTTTATGTTGAGCAGTGAGCTTTTTATTAGTGAATACTCACTCAACTCGTTGCTTCTATGGTTTTTATACTTTCAAAGAAAGTTTCGAGTGCTGTCTCGCCTAAATATTACTGCAAGTTACTAACAGCGTAAAGTTTCTAATGTTTTCTTAAAAGGTACAAATTTGTGTGATTGTAAGATACCTATAAAAAAAAAACAAGTATTGATGTTAAAACTACAAAAAGTTTGTGATATTTTTGTCAACCAAAGTTTTACCACCTCTGAAGTGTTTTGTTTTCTTGTAATTTGGAACTTGTCACTTTGTTTTTGTTGAGATTTTTTTGGGCGGGAAAATTGAGGTGGAAAAACTAATGTACAGATTTTCTGTTGGTGAAGATATTCATTAAAAACAATGACTGTTGACTGAATATTGCTGGATCAGTGTTTTTATTCTTGCACATTAATCACATTTTTGCTTAAAATTGAATTACTGTAGTATTTTCTGTGCTTTGGTTGTACAATATATTTTGACTTAAAAGTCAGAATAATAAAATCTACATGTAAACTTGACCCCCCCCCAAAAAAAAATTGAACATTTTTATAGCCACACCAAAACTATCGTACAATGCACTAGTGACTGATTAATGCCAGTCCACATGTGATTTACAACACACCTCTGTCCAAAATATAAAATAAGTAAAGAAACTTTTCAGAGTTTTATAATTGAACTGTTTTAATAATTCAACAATTAACTCATAAGCAATTCACCAAGTAAAGGAAAGCTTTTACTTTCCCTAGATTCAGTTTTTTAGTTTGAGAGGGCGCTGTAACCAGTCAAAAAATGTTAGGTATAGTGCCCGATCGGGCACTATACTCGCGCGATGTCTTGACGCATGTCTAGTTCACGCTGACGCAAATTTCATGCACTAGCCTATATTAGTGAACCCCACGCAGGGGCGTAAATCCCGGGGGGATAGTGGGTATATATCCCCCCCCCCCCCTCCACTTTTTGACTAAGGGGGATGAGTTATTGAATGATTTTGGTCATCCCCCATCTCCCCCACTCGCTGGCACAGATTTACGCCACTGACCCAATGTGCCCGCGTTTCAGCCAACCATGATAAAGAACCAGCAAAAGGTGTGTTATGATTGTTGCTATAAAACATGCTATGATGCTAGAATACAGTAGTAACTTTACTAGAACAAAAAGCCCAGAATAGTTTACTGTGAACCTAATTTACATGAAGCAGCATTTATTTCAATGAACACAATCATGGATGTGCTTGTGAAATTGAGTCACAACCGCCCCCAATGAAACCGAAACTACCAAACCGATGATTATTGCACTTAATAAGAATGCTTCATCTATGTGTAGCTTTCACTCTAACTAGGCCCCAAATTAATTTGTAATAACTTCAAGCTCTACTTGGATAAAATATATATATTTTAAATATTCCTTTTTCGGAGCATCCGAATGTTAACAGTTATCTGTAATGAAGCAACTAATGCAAGACTTTTGCTTGCTTATAAGCTGAACAACTTCATGTAAAAGCGAAGAGCATTTTGATGTTAGAACACAGCACTGATATTCACCAGAGTTGAAATGAGTTGTGCTTTTGCAAAATTTGCAGTGCAAAAACTTTACATCAACAATTCCCGTTCAGTTTTGTAAAAAGTATGAACAAGCCTTAGGCCCCAAAAAAAAGTCTCCTGTTTCTGGTATGGAGCTTGCCCAAAAAGTGGTGCAGCGATGCGGCTTTTTTTTTTTTTACCTGATTTTTTTGGCCTCAAATGTCGGCTGATGACTGCAAATGGTGCCCGACTAAACTTAGTGCAAATATATGGGAGTCCAGAGAGGCCACATAAAGCTTATTCTCGATCATAACCCCATCCAAAAACACGTTAAAATTGTGCAGCAGCAGGTTTCCAGTCAAATCAGTGAGTTTGGCGCTTTTGAGACATCATCTTTCATTGAAAAAAAAACTTTTTCATTTTGCCAACGCGCATGGCTACGGCAACGCGCGCGCATACCAGAAACCGGAGACTTTTTTTTTTGGCCTTAAGAGTTCCCATGGCTGCTGAAAAAATTGACAAGATTTAAGAAAACAGTGGTGTCAGACCCACATGTTGCAAGAGGTGGGGGGGGGGGGTCGAACAACACACCCCAAGTTCGACAAAGAGCCTTCTTTAGCGAACCACTTTTTATCTTTAACATGATAAAAAAATTATCTTTTTATCTTTATCTTTAAAGTTTTCATGTTTAACAGCAAGATACTTTTAATACATGCCTTGTTCAAATGTTCAGATTTCAAACAGTTCCCATTGATCGTACTCTTAGACTGTACAGGAAGACGGATGCATATAGGCAAAACTTATTTTTGCAAAAACAAAGTTGCATTTTTCAAACATTAATTTTTTTGGAGGAAAGGGAATTTGGTGCATATTTTTACATCATTAACTAGCATAATAACAAAAGCTTCCAAAATGAGAGAAAGGGCCAATATTTGCTGAATAAAATGTGCCATGTTTCATTCGACTGGAGAAAGGCCAAACAAGGCATCTGATGGGCCTAGGGGAAAGCACCGCTCAGCAAGATGCGTAACTGAACTTGCCCAATGATTTATGATTAACAAATCATACTGCATAAAACAGGGTCAAAGTTCAAGTAAATTGAAGCAAAGCATGATGGGAGATATCACATAGCGGCAAGATGATTAAGAACAAGGTTGATATCCCCAATTGCTCCCATAAAATAATGTGTGATTCTGACCACAGACTTTGTTCTCATGATTGATGCTCTGAATACAACGGAACATTGAGACCCTCAACCTCGTTCTTTTTGTGCAAGGCACTAGAGTTTCCTCCGGAGAATTGTCCGCAATCTTCTCATTCTAATCTCTCGTCTCCTTCCTCAACATCTTTGAGATCCAAGACTTCCACGGTTCCCTGCCCCTTGGTGCTGGAGCGTACCAACTCATCCATCTCACGGTAGCACCCGGGATCGACCAGACAAACCTGAAAGCAAGTAACGTAATAAAGTCATGTGGTCTGATATCTTTACAAATGAATTTTCTTGCTGTCAATTGGAACTATGGCTCAAAATGAAGTCAACTCTGAACTACAGCAGCTCAGCTCAGCTCATATCTAATCACTGCACCTAATCAACCCTCCCTCTCTGGCTTGCAAATCAGCTACAACAGTCAAAATCAATCAAGTGACTGTTTTTAACAGTTAAGAGTTCCCTTGATTTGACACAGCAATGCTTTGACTGGAGGTGATCGATATGCCAGCTGTACCTACCACCTTATTTTGGTACAGTCACGGAACCACAGAGAAATGACAAACCAAACAAAATGGTAATTACAACACTTGCTTCTTCCTACATGTATGAGCCAACTTGAGGCCCGAAAAACTTTCCGACAACTGTACAAAGTTCCCAAAATTTACTTTCAATGTGACATACATGGAGTTAAAACTGTAACAGTTCGTGTGTCAAATAGCAAAAACTAGAATGGTGCTATACATTATGCATATCTTTATCCACCATCTCAAAATTCAGGGACAGTCTTCCCTTGCTTTCCCAAAAAATGATATTTAGGCTTTTTCCGGTTCACGCCCCCTTTCCCCGAGTTTCCCAAAATAATGTCGTACAATACTGCAAATCTTGTTTTCCTGCTCAAGACAATTGGTTTTTGTATTGTGTTGCTTACATCTTAACCACCCTATCCCCCATCTGGATCTGCCACTGCAGTCTCATTTTTTTCTCCTGTGGCAGCAATATCAAATACTGCCCTCTATGTTCATGCACACAGTCCATTACACCTCCTCCATCTTGGCCCTACTCACCATCTCGAGTTCCTCCCCAAACTCCTCCCTCTCCAAGGTCTTAATCAACGTCTTCAGTTTACTCTTGACTTTCTTGCCTTCCTTGATGGGCAGCGTGATCCTTAGCCTCATCTGGGCACGGTCGATGGGCATCGTTTCCGTCTCCTTCAACTTCTTGATGACATCAAGTGCCTGTAAGGTCAAAGGTCAACATTCATTTGGTTTGACACAGTTAGGGGCAACCCCAGCAAAAGATTGACTATTGTCATCCAGAACGACTCTGAAGTATCTTTGTTTCAAACGTCACTCAAATCAAGGGAAAACTAATGTATACAGTTGGTTCGTCACCTACGTAATTTCATAACTCTATACTCAGATTTGTCCGTGGCTTAGGAGAAAAATAGTCACAAGCTGATGTCTGCACTAGTAAGCAGGAGGTCGTGGGTTCGAGTCCCACCCGAGTAAGCTTGTGATTTTTTTCTTCTCTTGAGCCCTTAAACAACATTTAAATTACATAGGTGAACGGCAAAACCCCCTATTAAATCTAGGTCAATATTTTAGTATATTTGACTCTCCATATATACCAATCTGGGATCTAAAATTTGAAGAAAAATGTAACAAGGATTTTTGGATTGACCGAGTCTCTGACTACCACTGTTTACCTGTTGTTTGGTGCCCCTGTTTGGTTTCACCGATATGTGGACATCTTTCATGGCCCGCTCTATCATTCCCACAGTGTATGGCCTCTTGGTCTCTGGATTGACGCACTTCTCGGCAACAATTGTAGCGATGTCACGGAACATGGACTCCAGCTGCTGCTGTCGCTCTTTCTCTGAAACCTGGAGCTCACCTTTAGCTAAAATCTGCGAGAAAAATATGAACTCTTTCATTTGTGGAACAAAGCACAGGATCCATGGCGCCAAGGAGCGCCATGGTCCAGTGGCTACAGTGTTTGCCGTGGTACATGGGTTCGAACCCTGACAGAGAACATGGTGCTTGTGCCCTTGGGCAAGACACTTTACTACTATTTACTCTCTCCACCCAGGAGTATAAATGGGTACCTGTGAGGGTAGAGACCAGATTGCGCTGATCTCGGCTGCAGATAAGTGGCGTCATGGCCTGATGAACAGGGGTAATAACTGCGAAGTGCTTTGAGACCTAGCTTTAATGGAAAGCGCCTTATAAGTGACACACATTATTTTATGGCAATGCTTAATCATTACTTGCACATGTGTTAAGCATGTATTTCCAATGCTAAACAGCAAATATGGGTTACCAGCCAAGAGGTCATGCAATATATACTACTAGGGACAAATCCTCAGCTAATTTTGTTTCTGCTAAGAATTAAGCTCCTTGAAAATCAGCCCAAAGCATGACAGTAAAAAAAAGTGAAAGTGATTCTTCTTTATAGAACCTACAGATTGTGAAATGAATTTTTGTTGCAAGACTTGTGCACTTCCATGCTAGTTAATTCATCAATAATTCTCTTTGAACAAAGCCAGAAATATGGGTTTTTTGAAGATAGCTAAAAACAAATAACTTATGAAATGTTAATTTTTAAGGATAAACCACAGATATTTTCACTCAGGTTTACATTCTTTACAAGATTAACGTCTACTTAAAATACTTTTTTTCCCCTTTATTTACATTTTACCTGTTTGCATATTTCTGTCTGGTCCTCTGTATTGAAAGCTTTCATCAAATCTTCCCTCTTTGCTCCTTGTCCTTTGGATACATTGGTGAAGACTGTGTGAGTCTGTAGAACCTCATCAATGTCTTTCTCCCTGTAAGTGTGGAAAATGGAAATTGTTGGGGGTAAAATATTTGTAAACGGTAAAATTTCATCACCATAATTAAACATCACAAAAGTTCACATGCTAGTTTAATCCTGTCATGCCTGTAGTGTCATTTGAGTTGACAGACCTGTAAAACTCAATGGATGTCATTGAAAATTAAATTCGGAAAGAACAATTCAAATTAAATAGCTAGGGCCTATATCATTTAAATTTATTCAATATTCTGACACAATTGCAACCTCTACTAGAAGTATACCCCAACTCCCATCCCCACCCCGCATCCCCACACTGCTTCCCCACCCACACCCTGCATCCCCACCCCCACCCCACTTCCGCCCCGCATCCCCACCCCACAACCCAACCCCACCCCACAGCCCAACCTCACGAATCCCCAGCACCACCCCCGCATCCCCACTTTTACCCCGCATCCCCGCCGCCCGCCCCACATCCCCACCCCCACTTCCCCACTTCCATCCTGCATAATCACCCAATGTCAACCCCCACCCACCCAGTAAAATAAAAACATATACACATTTAAATATGCTCGTTGCTACAATAACTTACAAAGGTACGCCCACAAAATGGAATATGAGAACCTTGCCTAACCTAGTCCATTCACTCACACTTTATTTCTCCACGACATGACTTTGTTTTTGTAGCAGGCGATTTCGAAGCGTTTCCCCGCTTTTTTCATCCTGACAATCGCTACATTTGTCAGCCGAATCTGGTTGGTGGGTGTGAAAATTGCTGCCATGATCTCAGTTGAGAAATTACTGTAGAATTGTAAAAAATGAAACTGTGAAGTTTCCACTCCACTCACACAGCAGCATGCGTTTACAGCGACAGCCGTAGGTATGTCACAATGTCACGAAATGCATGCGATCAAAACAACAAATCACTTCCGGGTTACAGGGCATGTCGTGGCTGTTCTCTTTCCAGTGTATTTAGTAGAGAAAAATAAGATAATTTCCATCAGAATACATTTCCTCGTTTGTCTTTTAACAAAGTATTTCCCTCCTTAATAAAGGCATTATTTCAATGTTTTGTAACTGTTCTGGACTGATTACTTCTTTCCTTGTGGATAGAAATATAGTGAAAATATCGATGGGTTTTCCCCGTTGGAGAAGTATCAGCACAATCACTGCGCACGGTACACATGCTATCTAGTGCACTGTAGGATACTGTGTGCACATTTGCCTATGAAGCGCGCCACACATGCATTACTGTGTCTAGCAGCATGTATGGTATAGCGTAGCGGTCGAGCTTGCACTTTCATTGGAAATTCACAAACTTAATTGGGAACTTCCCCCGATTTCATCAGTTTTGCCGTCGACTCACCACCTCCCTATCCTGCATAATGATCACGTAGGCTTGCCAGACAGCCTCAAAAATGGACGAACGGGCAGAAGAGCCCCTCATCAATGTTCAACATGTTTTCCAGGTAAGGATATCTCTCCGGTCAAAATGTCATTTTTTTTTTCAACGTGTGCATTTATCGGTGTTGTTCAAAACACAATGTATCTGATTGCATTGCGTCGAACTTGTCAAATATTATGATTAATCGTGTATTCCCGACATCTCCCTGAAAAAGGCTGAATCAAATAAATAGTACATTTGAGCAGTGAAGATATAAATGAGGCTTTTACTGGATATTTTTTAGATCTTTCAAAATTTAATTGTGATTTCTTTAATTTTCTTGACAGAATGTAGTCCAAGTAGCTAAGCATGCTAAGCATGCTAAGTCATTGTAAGTAGGACCATGGTAGGACATTTGGAGATGGTCAAGCCAACTATCACTTGACCATCTCCAAATGTTCAAAAAGGGCTATTCGTAGAGTCCTAGTTACTCGGACTAGACAGAATGTATCTGAATCTCATTGTGTCTTTCTCATAGCGTTGCGTAGTGGCTGTCGTTCTGGCAGCCATAATGCAATTTTCAACGGCGCAAGGCACACTGAATCGCACGTCACCAACCATAAACCACGTAGGAACATTGTAATTTCTACCCCAAGAAACTGTTCAAAAGTACTATAAAGGTGTCATAATTAAGAGAAGTCTGCTTTAGGTTGAAACAGTCAATTTTGAGTATTAAAAAACACCCTTGACTCTAGTTTGATCGAAACTAAACACAGGCCCTGCACTGCCATGACTACACTAATGCCTTTTCAACTGCTATTGTTACTTAGGCCAATCAACATTGATATTTAGGTTTTTATCACCTCCCTCCTCAATGATTACTCCCACCCCGAATTTTTTCAGAAAGTGTGTTTTTTCCTCAAAAAATTTTCCGGACAAATTTCTCACCAAATCCACAGGCAGGGTTACACTGTGAGCTTCATTATACCCTTTCTAAATTCTAGACATTTGTAAACCCTTGGTCATTAAACAGCTGACTGGTACTTAATATTAAGTAGTTTTCATATTTGTTGTGTCTTTTTTTTTTTATCTGACTTTCACTCCTCAATTCACTTTGAATATGAAGAAGTGGAATTAATAAAATATAAATTCCCCTTCCGACCGATTTTTTTTTTCAGTATTGAGTGATGAAAACCTAAAAACCAATGTTGATTGGCCTTACGGCATTGAAAAAGACCAAATGTTGCGAATCTAGACCCAGTATGAGTGCCAGTATCAACTGGGGCGGAAGAAGTCCTTTTGAAATTGTGGCCCCAGCGAATCAGTCAATAGCATCATAAGACTTCACAATTTGCCACAGATTCTGCCCGAAAAAATTGCCAAAATGACAGCAAAGACTTGACAAAATACCTTATAAATTACCTCCTGGCTTCTCAAGGTGTCAAAGAAAGAAAAAAGAAAGAAAATTACAGAAATGCAGAAAGTTTTTAATTAGAAAACAAAGGAATGTGAATCTTAAGAATTGTGAACCACGGGAAATGAGAACGCAAACCAACTTACTTTACTGAACATTACTGGCACTATTCTTGAATCACTGACTCAGCTTGTGATGTACAAAAGCAACAGGATTTAAAATAACAGCAAATTAAATATTAAATACTATAGAAAAGAATGTCCATCTCCTTAGTTTGAATCAGATGAATGTCGGATGCCCAGCCTACATTTAATGTTGCAATTTGCAATAAATTAGAACACAAAAATACCTGTGCCTTCATTGCTGATGATGTATTGCTGGTGATGTTTTGTCAACTCAAAAACTCAATTTACTCTGGCTCCTGACCAAATTTACAAAGTGAAAGGTTTCTCGTCATCAGTGGTCATGCTGCTCATTAAAATCCAATGGTAAATGTATATTCTGGACTGACAACAGTGTTGATGGATGTATAATAAAATTAACTTTTTCATAATTTAAAAGATTTACTATCCAAAAATGTTTGCATAAAAATTGCCTACATGTGCCTTTTACCAATACAATGTTTTTAAAACTAAAACGCGTACTGAGTTGAGGGATTTGCCACTTTTTTTCAAATAACATTGTGGATTGAAATGAACTGAATTTGAATTAAACAACCCATGCACATGTTTCATTAAAACTAAATTTTGCAAACTGAACTTTGATTTCATAAAATTTGCATTTTATCTGGCGTAGGATTTTGTGGTTTTGCACAGAAATATTCATAAAATGAGGATGGAATGACATTGACCTGACTCATCAATTATTCCTGGCAAGTGACCCCATTAAAAAGTCACTGCCCTCTCATTTGTACATGTATTTTCTTTTTTCAAGAATAATAATTAAATAAACCATTCCTATTTATTGAGGGTCCTTGACAACAATCTGCGGGACGGTGGGCTTTTAGCCCGCAGATAGATTGAAATTGCAGATAATCTCGGTTGGATTTAATTTGTGATGACTTGCTAGGGAAAAGACTCTGCCCTCCGTTCATTTTGTGAAATATATTCTGCATTTTACGCTCGTTTGCACACTGCGGATGATTTCCACCGAGAAACTGGAATTACATTTTGAATTAACATCACGGTACGAACCGATTAATTGTAAACAATACACGTGTACGGGACTCGAGTGTTATGGGAAGAAGAGAAAATTATGAATGAATATTTCAGATGTTATGCATACTGGTACATGCACACATTAGTGTACACATGAATAGAATGGTACACATTACTCAGTGCTTTTTGAACAGTCTTTAATTTAAAGCTATAGTCCATCATTTGTAATTTGTGCATTTAGTTCGTTTGAAGCAACAAAAGTGTTCAAAATCTAATTTAGGATACTGAACAACTAACCTGATGAAGTTTCAGCTCAGCTTCAGCTGTATATATTCCGAGAAAAACAGCAGTCTAGGATCTCAATTTCAAATCAAAAGTTGCTGAATCATGTTTTGAATTGGGCCTGAATTCAGCGTCCGAGACGCGTTCTCACTGAGCCAATTGCAGCTATACGCGATGTCGCGCACTGATCCGACGAATTATTGCAACCGCGTGTGCGTCGTGCCAATGCTTCGCCAAATAACAAAACGAACTACTAATTAAAATTTTCCTACGGTGCGTCTTAAGACGCACCGTTGGAAAGGCCTTCTTTCGTTGATTACTTCAAAATGACAGCTTGCCAGAAAGAATAATTTCACAGGGAGTTTAGTCCCCTTACTATCTTTCAACCAAGTATGTTTTTCAACAATAATTACGCCAGTTACTTTTCGGATGGCTGCAAATGATGGACTATAGCTTTAACCCTAACCCCCTAGGCCCTTGTTGCTTACAGCCATCCTCAATCCTCCAAAATCCTCCAAAATATTCCAAAATTTTGCAACTCCGCCTAAATTTTTCAAAATTGTCAGACAGTCCTGCCTCAAAATGCATTCATCCTCAATCCTCCAAAATCCTCCTCATCCCAAAACTTTGCACTCGTGTTTAAATGAAGGATAACCAACGCCAAATCCTTCAAAATCATCAGACAGTCCTGCCTCAAAATGCATTTATCCTCAATCCTCCAAAATCCTCTTGTGCTTCAATCATTATTCATCCTCAATCCTCCAAAATCCTCATGTGCTTCAATCACCATTCATCCTCAATCCTCCAGAATCCTCATTTGATTCAATCACCATTCATCCTCAATCCTCTAGAATCCTCCAAAACCGCCAGGAGGATTTTGGAGGAGGGAGGTGGGTTAGGGTTAAGAGCTTTGTTCCTGAATATAATTACCAGCATACACATAATCCTAACCCCCTAGGCCCTTTTGGCTTAAGAACCATCCTCAATCCCGCAAAATCCTCCAATTGCCACCATGTGGCAATTGATTCAGCTTCAATCCTCCAAAATCATCTGTTACTTGAATTTGTTCAATGGAGGGGTGACCATTGCCTCAATCCTTCAACATGTTCCAAATCCTCCGACAATCACTGTTAATGGGTTGAGGCAGTGCCGATGACATTCAGAAGCAGTGCGGATGATATCGAGCATAATGCAGGGCTTACTTATGCATGACTGAACATGAGCAATGCTGGGTACAGCCTACGAACGCGACACAATGCATCCTCCAAAATCAACCGTCACTTTTTGCCATCAGCCTCAATCCTCCAAAATCCTGCAATTAACCATCTGTAGGATTTTGGAGGATTGAGAAGGGTTAGGGTTAACCCTAACCCCCTAGGCCCTTGTTGCTTACAACCATCCTCAATCCTCCAAAATCCTCCAAAATTTTCCAAAATTTTGCAACTCCGCCTAAATTTTTCAAAATTGTCAGACAGTCCTGCCTCAAAATGCATTCATCCTCAATCCTCCAAAATCCTCCTCATCCCAAAACTTTGCACTCGTGTTTAAATGAAGGATAACCAACGCCAAATCCTTCAAAATCACCAGACAGTCCTGCCTCAAAATGCATTCATCCTCAATCCTCCAAAATCCTCTTGTGCTTCAATCACCATTCATCCTCAATCCTCCAAAATCCTCATGTGCTTCAATCACCATTCATCCTCAATCCTCCAGAATCCTCATTTGATTCAATCACCATTCATCCTCAATCCTCTAGAATCCTCCAAAACCGCCAGGAGGATTTTGGAGGAGTGAGGTGGGTTAGGGTTAATTAAAGTTGCATAACCCGTGCTCTTAAAAAAAAGTTTGTACGTTTTGTTAAAAACAAAAGAAAAATTGACGATTTTTAGCATCTGCTTCCCTCTGAAAAGCCCTTTCATTTTACGTGCTTTCATTTTTGTGTCAGTTACGTACAAATGGACCAACTGTTAATATCCACTTTGAATTGTCAGGCCGCAAATACAAAGTTTGTAAAGTAATAAATTGTAAAACAACAGTGGGGCGATTTTTTTTTATTCAATGTCTCATTCAAAAATGTAGAACTTCATAAGGGCCTACGTACATGTACAAAAACATGTATGTATGTACTGCTAGAAAAATTGCAAGTGAATGACAAATCAATTTTTGGGGGGTCAAACTAGTCTGACATACATCTAGCACGGGGACTACATCGTATAAATAACATCTGTTAAA